CACACACACACACACACACACACACACACACACACACACACACACACACACACACAAAGATTCGATCTTTACTCTTCCATTTTCACCACCAGATTCCAGCACTATTTTGTGGAGCTGTATACGCTTGTTCGCCCTCATTTTCCACATAGGAGGTATCACAGATTATATATATATATATATATATATATATATATATGTATATATATATATATATGTGTATATATATATATATATATATATATATATATATATATATATATATATATATATTTATACGTATATATACATGCATATAGATGCACACCCATATATATCCATATATATATACATATATATACATACATATATATATATATATATATATATATATATATATATATATATATATATATATATATATATATATATATATATATATTTCGTAGCTCAGTGAGCGACATATTATAGCGCTGCCACCGTGGTCTCCAAAAAAGAACACTGGAGGATCCATAAAATCCGTGGAAACTAGAGGTTAAAAATAGGGACAATCTATCCGTGAACTTGAGCTTGATTTTGAACTTGAACGGGCGAACTTGAGCGAACTTGAACTTGGACTACTGGTGAAGTGTTTGTTTGACTGTTTTTGTGGCGATAGTGTTCTCATTGTCTTTTTGTAGTGTTCCCATTATGAGTGCTTCTTATATGTATCAAAGCGAAAATAGGATTCTGTCTTACTTCAATTAGTTATGCTTAATTCATGTTCTCGGTTTCAGAAAAATGTTTTTGAACAGTAGGCCACAATTTTTATCCTTTCAAAGTCAAAACTTATTTCTTGTGCCATTTAGTCTTCCCCGAAGATGAGATACGATTTCGAAACGTTAGAATGAAAGGAGCGATGAATACATGAGTAATTTTGTGCGAACCATCAAGTCATCAAGTGCCCACAGCTTACTATGTGGTACACAGTAATCATGAAAATACAACAGCGGTGTCTTCAGGTACCTAGTGCAACAACAGTTCAAGGCTGTTCTGTACGTTTCCTTGTCCAAGTTTTCATGAGGGAGGTGCGCTGATAACACTGTTTTACCAGTGGCAGCAGTGGCAACACAGTTCCAAAGAAAGCGCTGTGTTACAGGAGGTAGCACAGCTCCACCGGAGAAGCTGTGTCACCACTGGGGAGGCTAGGGACCCCGAAGGCATAAAAAGTGACGCCCCTGAATGGTGGTGAGGGATCTGGTTGCTCCACCAACAGATGAGCTCCGCCTGTCTAGCCGGGCTTCTGTTCGGCTTCTCTCTCCTGCTGGTCCTGCTCTGTCCGGCCTTCGCTGGCCCGTGGATCGACCTCAGCCACACATACGACAAGACCACACAGTACCGGCCTGGCTCACTCAAGTTCAATCTGAGCGAATTGTTCAAGGGCCAGATGGAAGGCTTCTGGTGAGTGGATCGTGCTCAAGTTAGCGCAGCCGTCATGGCGTGGCGGCTGTTTCCATGATGATTGCCAGATGTCTTTTATTGAATTGCGCATGATTTAAGTCGATTCTTACTCAAAATAATTGGCGCCTGGAATCACGTTTCAAAAGTTGGTCAGTTATTAGATGCTAGCTAGAAGCTAGAAATTGAGGTATCACATTAATCGATTTTATGGACGGTAGCTTTCTGTGAAGGGCTCAGTTGTTCCGCTTCCTTACATGCTCTTAAACATTTTTGTTTTGTCTCTTCCCTGTTTTTATTTGCATCGAAAACGTTCTAGCAGACCTATGTTTTTCTTAGACGCTTATAAATGGGATGCCCTGCACAGTGCTGTGGCTACACGGAAGTTAAATGGACTGATTTGAGTAGTGCCGGTAATTCGTGTCAGTTTCCATTGATTGTAAGAGATGCTGCGCGTGTTACTTCCGCTCATTGCCATCGCCCGTTGAACATATTCCCTATGAAACTTGATCGGTGCTGATAACTCGAAATTGACTCAGTGCTCATCCTAATCGATTTGGTCATTGCATTTGATAGGCTGACCAGAAACAAATCTTATTTTAATGTTAATCACGTAAAATTCAAGAGAGTGGGGCAAATCTGTATTCTTCCGAGTTTCAAATGACTCTGTATCTCATTCTGAAGGCGAACTGAGTCTAGGAAATGTCTGGAAATCTGCCCTTTGTTCTTTTTCAGTTCTTTTTTGGACTGGAGGTGGAGGTGATAGGGCAAATAGGGCACGGCATATGCGGTGGACGTAACGCCACAGCACCCACAACGATTCATCAACCATTAAGGCCGACCTCAACTGGCCCTGCCTTTCGGACACGGCGCAGTTATTTTCGAAAGCAAGTTACGCCGCCGCAGAATGCAGTGCAAAATGCGCTTACATAAAATGAATTGAATGAATGCACAAAATGAGTGCCGGCATACGTTTCGATGTCCCCATTCGGTATAAATAAGCTCAACAGGCCGTCTCTTCAAAGCGTAAGTTCATAGCTCGAGTCACCTGCTCCGCAGCAGTCGCCAATGACGGTTCCTCCACACAAGTCCTGAGCGTCCGGCAATGCCTCCTCCGCGTGTGTAAGGTGTGGCACCTCCTCCACGTGTGTGAAGTATGGCACCTCTTCCAAGTGTGTGAAGTGTGGCACCTCCTCCACGCGCGCGAAGTGCGGCACCTTCTTCACGTGCATCAAGTGTGGCACCTCCTTCACGTGTGTGAAGTATGGCGCCTCTTCCAAGTGTGTGAAGTGTGGCACCTCCTCCACGTGTGTGAAGTATTGCACCTCTTCCAAGTGTGTGAAGTGTGGCACCTCCTCCACGCGCGCGAAGTGCGGCACCTTCTTCACGTGCATCAAGTGTGGCACCTCCTCCACGTGTGTGAAGTGTGAGAGGCGGTGTTACTGCCCAGCCCGGAAAGCATTGGACTGTCCCGCCGCAGACGTGAGGTCGGCAACCGTCCTATGCCGCGTCGGCGGTGGGCTGACGCCGCCACAAAGCCGCTGTAACCACGTCCCGCCGCGCGCGCCCTGAACCAAACCGGATTGTTCACGTGCCGTCCCCTGCCGCCCTCGGCAGGCTCGAGACGCACAACTTCGAGACCGTGGAGCATGGCGGCACCCACATGGACGCGCCCGCGCATATGTTTAGGGCGGCTGGACTCTGGAGCAGATTCCTGTCGATCGGTTTGTGGCGCACGGTAAGCATGTGAGCGTCATGTGCTTACTCCGAACGCCTTTACGAAGGCGTATCGCCCACTATTTTTTTTTAACGAACTCAAATTATTTTGCTCGCTCGGCTGAGTAGCAGCTGGCTTAAACCATGCCGCTTGTTGCAGCTAGCTTTTGGCATGATGCCACTGCACGTAGAAATGATAGCTGGAAGCTCCTTTAAGTCACAGATCGCCCTACACAATTACTTAATTTTTTGAACACGTTTGCAGCATATCATACAACGCAATCGCACACCAGGGTTAACTGTAGTCGGCCAGGTGGAGCTCTCACCCCATGTCCACCTACCGGAGTCGGCGGCAGGACCCCCTAGGAAAATACCCTTGTGCTGGCTGGCTACCACATCAAAAGGCATGTGACCCACAGTGACGACCATGTGATTCTAAACCGCACTTACGCTGAACTTTGCACTCCCTGGTTCAAGTGCAACACCGCTCTCGGGAACGCGTGATACAAACCTGCGCTCATCCCGTCATTCTCACTTTCCTTTTTAGCAGTCATATCCGCATGCTTGTTGGGAGCACCTGTGCCATCCCAATAAGTGCACTGTACCCACCAGAGCATTGCATTTAAATTCCGGCTCAAGCAAGCCCTTGTGGTTTCCCCCTGCAACCTTACGGGTAGCAGGTTGCAACACTTTACTCTGGCTGGTTTCTTTCTTTAAGCCTTCGCTCTATACAATGAAATGGTTATGCACTATCTGGAGTAAAGGACTCTTTCAAGAACACCCGCACTTCAGTGGTACTCGAGTTACCGCAGCACGTAAGGCGAAGGAACGCCTTGCATGGATCAGGCACAAAACAGTAAAGCTATGTTGTCTTGATTTCCGGAGTTGGAATTTTCCTCTTTAGAATCCCATTTGTCATCACGTTCTGGATACGTCATGAAAGATGGGATTCAGTTACCAATTAATTCCAATTCATTTTCCATGCACATCTGTATTTACTGGTAGCGATCTGGCCTATTTGATGGCTCTGGGCTGTCCATCTCCAAATCGCCACCGCTGTCCACCGCGCGACTGCCGTTTCTAGCATGCCTCGCGCAAGGTTCAGTCGCCTCGTCTAGCAGATGCGCTGTCGGTAAGCTTGTTACGCTTTGTCCTCTCGCAGTGCTTTGACATCAACGAAAGTTCACAGTTGCTTGAACCTTGCGCGTACTATCACGGATAAACTGGAGTTGAGTGATGTCGGTGATGCGATGATAAAGATCGCCGAAAACGCCCAGTGTGTTGAAATTGCTTATCACCTCGATGACCTGATGCTGATGTGCTTTAACTTATTTACGTCAGCAGGTAAAGTCGAAAGCATGTTTGTGGTGCCCATGTGTTAGGACTGTTGATGCTGTTTTTTAGGCCTGTTCTATGTTGGGACTGTTGGTTGTCTGTGTGGACGGTCCTATCGCGCCGTTTGCTCAGGCAGGACTGGGACCCCGTTAAAGTCACGCGGAAAGGATAGAGTTCACGGAACTCGTGGGTGGATGGGTGAACGGTGGCGTCGTTGCTATTTGTCTTACTCTTCCGCCTCTCTTTTGTCTTGAGTTGCAGTGACCCCGCAACGTGGCAGACTGGGATAGGCTCTGCCATGTGCTTGACTGTCATGTAATTAGTATAAGGCGCAAGCGCCTCTAAAGCGCTCCGTCTCACTCTGGCGCTACGATTCCAGCGGCTCTGGTCAACATCTCCGCCCGGAGTGATGCTGACCCTGACACGACCTTGACCCCGGCTGACCTGATCGCCTGGAAGGAGGCGCACGGCAACTGGCGCTACCCCACCATCCTGCTGGTGTACACGGGCTACGCTGACCACTGGGGCAACAGCACGCGCTACTGGGGTGTCACGCCCGAGGAGTTCAAGGCGAAGAAAGCTGCGAATGCATATGAACTGCACTTCCCTGGTCAGTGTGGAGGCAGGACGGGGGATGGGGGGGGGGGGGGGGGGGGACTAGCCGCCTTAAGAAGCCCTGATCGCAGCTGGAAGCTCTCGTGTAAATCCCTAATCCTGATACGTATGGTACGTAAAAGTGTGGAAAAGCGAAACCGTGGTTACCCTTAAGTTGTCTGTTTGCTCACACTCCCGGGTGTAACGTCAGTGGGTATCCGTAGGCGTAAGCTCAGTTTGTGAGCATGCCCGTGTCTCGGATGTGACGTCAGTGGGAACCCGCAGACTTTAGCTCAGGTGGTAAGCATGTCCGTGTCTCGGATATGTCGTCAGCACACCGTTGTCCGTTAGCATGGCTTCGTTCCAGTTTTGATTGCATGCATGATGTATGCCCTCGTCTGCAGACCAAAGGTCAGCAAGCTCGTGTCTAAATACTCAGGACATTACACTCGTGTCCGAATAAATAACGTCAGTACGCCCGCACGTGCAGGTGTCATGATATTTTACCCATATCTGGGCACAAGGCACAACTTCAGCCGCAGTCAAAGCTATGACACATGCTTATCCTCGTCTAGGGACATGACATATAGGTATGCTAGTATAGGCCAATAATCTGGACGTTATGATACCCGCGTCCACGCATGTTACATCACCATCTCCCGAGTGTAGACATGGTACTGAGGAGCCATCTTGCGAATATGTGACAGACATGCAGCCTTGTCTGCAGACATGGCAAGCCGCTGTGTCTGCAGACATGACAAGCTACATGTCATGGAGTCTGCGAGCGTGGAGTCGGTATCTGTAGACATGACGTCAGTGGTATTGCGCTCATGACGTCACTGTCAGTGGGCATATGACATTAGTAGCAGCACACATGAAGAGGCGGCGTGAAATGATGACATTGACTACGCAAACATGACGTCAATGTCAATTGGCGCATGACATCAACGCCAGTGCATGTATGATGCCAGTGACAACCCACGCCTACCATAAGTGCCAGTGCGCACATGACGTCATTGGTAGTGCGCGCGTGACGTCACTGCTGGCGCCGGACAGGTATAGGCGCGGCGGCGGCTGAGATGATCGCCGCCGATGGCGCCATCGTCGGCGTCGGCATCGACACGCCCTCACTGGACCCGGGCAACAACAAGGTGGTCCCCGCCCACCAGGCGCTGTTCCGGAGCAACATCTTCGGCGTGGAGCACGTGGGAGACATGAGCCGGGTGCCGGCCACCGGCGCCACGTGAGCACGGAGACGCTGCCCGCGGTCTGCAGCCGCTGCCTTGCCGCAGTATGCTGGGGCTAAGCGCTTGGTATTTACAGCTTTCGATCAGGGCCAAATCTGTTTTTTTTTGTACGGGCTTTCAGCTGTCAGTCATATTATATAGACAAAATTAGCAAGGCGTTTAAGTATACATAGCTGCATCACAGTAAACTCATTTCTTCTTCGGAATATGCGGACTAAGGTTTTTGCTCAGCCGTCCTCACCGGTTGTTGCCCGGGTGAGCAGTTGCGTTGTTCATTTCTTAGCAAGACAGCTCACCGTTTTTGGTAGGTCTCTTCCACGCAACGCCCGTGGTAAATGCCGGAACGTTGAGGTGGAGGAGGGCGCTTAATCCCGCCGCCCCCCCCCCCCCCGCAAATGCGGTTCCAGGACAATGAGGTCAAATGGTAAAAAGCCACACTGAACAAAAGCCAGCCGTAAAATGTTAAAGAAATGGAAACGACAAAAAGGTGAAATGGCAACACCCCAAAAGAACAATAGTCAAATGCAAAAAATTAAACAGGCAAAAAGAAGTTAAAAGTGATACAGCTAAAAACGCAAGGTCAAAGAGTCAAAGGAACTCAGGTTGCATATTACAAAGTCAGAAAAATAGAAAAATGCGGAAAAGGTGCAATAGGCTATTGTCAAACCACAATTTTCCCGCCCAGAAATCGTGACATTTGTAGGGCTTACGAACGCACTGAGGGTCCTAGATCGCTTGCTCTTCCAGAAGGGCGGGGCTAGGGCCGAGCACTCCCCCCTCCCCCGCCGCCTCCGCTTAGCCAGTAGGGTCCCAGCCAATTGGCATTGACTTCATAACTGCGCCGGAGACGCAGAGGTATCCTGGATCTAGGTTGGAAGTACCCTCCGCGTGATGGTAGATGTCTCAGCGCTAGACGATTTTTTTGCCACGTGATGTCTTTTTACTTATATGCTCTACGCCTTTTTGACCATAAACATCATGGTCCTTGGTGTCGATTTCTCAAAACGGTTGAGGGGGAGGGGGCAGAGTCGTGCAAGTCGCCATAAGGACAGGAACGACAATTTTCTCGGATTACCTCCCCTGTTCTTCTGGTTGTACTTTATATATATATATATATATATATATATATATATATATATATATATATATATATTTGTGCTTGTGTTTTTAAACGGCATGTGTGTAGCAACAGCAATAGAAGGTGGAAGTCTGTCACTTTGGATCAGTTTCGTATCAACGCAGCTATTTATTGAAGCCAAAGCTGCAAGTGGCTGCATTTTTTTCTAGCATACTAAAAAGTGTAATATGCGCATAATTTGCCATTTTGCTCTTAGGTGTTTCTCTTATTCTGTGATTTTTATTGTATCCGTCTGACTGATTTTTTTCAGCTTCTGCCTTGTCGCGTTAAGGCATTTGACCTGCATTTATTTTCATGTGTTGTGTATTTCAAGTTTTTGTTTATGTCACTTCTTTATTGTTGAGTTGAACTTTTCGAACGTTGAGGTGTCTTTTTTTAGATGCCTTTTTACTGTTCAGATGTCTTTAATCCCTTCTGGCTTTTCCGTTTGAAAGTTGGTCATTTTGACTTATTGCTGTTTGACCTTTATCATTTCACTCTTATTCCTTTTCACTTCTTGCCAGCTACCTTTTTGGCATCATGCTTTCTTCTTTTTTGCTTCTTGGCTTTTGTTACCTTTTGTTCGATTACCCCCAAATGCGTGGTAAACCCTTAAGTATCATTTTCTGCCGCAGGATCCTGACCTTGCCGATGAAGATTGGCGGCGGCATTGGCGGACCCTGCCGCGTGCTCGTGCGCCTGCCGTAGCCAGTGATGAGCAGCGACCTAGCAGTCCGAGCACGACGCAGATTGGGGGAGCCGATGCGCGTGGGACCATAGCGGATGACCGTCATGACGCGCAACAGCTATGTGTTGCGTTGTACTAGGCACGAAATACAGCGGCAATGAGAGTTGCACAGGACCATTGGCGAAGAACGTCCTCGATGTTACAAGGCTGCTAAGGAAATGTCTGTGTGAACATATCACTTCTTTGGCCGGCATGCCACTCCAGCTGTCACCGTAAAATTCCAAGATACACCAACGGGCTCCGCCAATGAATCGTGGTTCAGTGACATTCTCACTCGCACCCACCGCCACACGGATAGGGTGCGTGGACCCGTTGCAGTTTGACGTTCACTGCAGGTGACTCCGGCACAGTGTATCAGGGAGGCAAGACTACATGCTTGTGTGTATAGCACGCCTACAGACGTTAAACCTAATGAGACCAATCTGTATAATTGAGTTATGCCATGCTAGTTTCCTGAGTACTGTATATTGGCAAAGGCCGAACACACCAGCTTGGTTTCAAATCATCATGCAGCTGAAGTGGTCAACCAGCTTTACACAGCAATTTGATATGAAAGACGATGTGTAGCAGCTTAAATCATCTCTACAGAGCCCACACTGAAAATCTGCAGAGTCTAACCATCTCTTCTTCATTTCTGGAAGCAATTTCACGAGAGGCCACTGCGCAAAGTGTCCCGAAAGCTCATTCCTCACGACCGACATTGTGCTTGCCCTGGGATGAGACGCACCTCCCGCATATACGCGCAACTGGCTGCGGCACTTGGGACGCCTGATGCGGCGTTCCCTGCCACCTGGCGGCCGAGCTCTGCGTCTTCCGACCGCTACCTGGCGACAGGTCTCCAAACCAACTGACAAGTGATGTTGGGCGCGACGGCTGCGACCGAGCGCGTGATATGCAAGAGAGTAGGCACCCGCACTCCGTCCCGCTTGCGCACAAAACGCCGACTGCTGAGCGGGGTGAACCTCGCACCGCGGGTGTGGAATGTTTTACACCAGTAACATTTGTTCCCCCAAAGCTGCTCGTAACTGACTTCAGTGGCCCTTGCCAGCTTAGCCGGTCTCCCCACCTTCCTAAGCGAAGAGGATGTTTGTCACTCGTCGACTTTACTCCTGATGTGCTGAACTTGTGTATAAATGCTTTACATGCAAGTTTACATTATACGTTGCCGACATGTGTTAAATGCGTTGATGATGCAAGTAGGGCGAGGCCGTGGGGATTTCTTGAGGTGATAGGTAAACTGGCAGCGCTAAGAGATTTGGTAGGCTCTACCGGAAGCCAAAGCGGCGCTATTGATTCGATGATGCTACTTCATAACACTGGGGACTCGAGTCAACATAACACACATTAGAACTAGCTTCATACAGAATTGCGCGCAATATTTCACTGGACTCCAACGGAGGATTGCGGTGGGACGACAGTGAAAATCTCTTAGATCGGCCATGACAATTTTGTGGCGCTAGTCAGAACCTGCACGAGGATTTGTTTCATAAGCGACGATTAGCTGTGGTGAGCTTTGCCTAAGAAAGAGGGCGGTAAATGTGGAGGCTTTTGCCTACTAGGACCATGAATAGAAAATATCCCCCGTGGTGCTTGATTTGCACAGAAATCTGTGCATTCTTGATTTAAATGAACTGAATACGGAAAATGAGAACTAGGGCCAGATAAAGCCATTAAGTTTTACCAACAGCCTTGCTTCATTCCAGTGAGCTAAGTAGGCACAGTGAAGCAAAATACATGTAAAAGTATGGGTTGATTCATAGGTGTTACCATGCCTGAAATGATCTGGGGTACCTGACTACAAAGATGTAGTTATACAAGAGATATCTGATGCAGCACCAACATTGCAGCAACAATTTCAGCATGTGTGTCATATATGAGTGCTCAGAATTTGATGCACATTCTCCACACATTTTGGAACATGAAGGTCTGACGTTTTAAGGATGATCTTGGAATGGAAGTGATTTATGGTAAATTGGACAAAATCACCTTAAGTATTTTTTTACCTGCAAATAGTTGAATCTGTCAGCATGATATGTCAGGCCTAGGTTTGGTGCATGAATTTCCTGTAAGAATCAGGTTAGAATAGTTGGATTTTTGTCCAGAATGTCTTGGGTGCATCTATTTCTGTTTTGGTGTCATCTCATACCATAGGAACAGGTATAACCCAGTATGCCCAAAAGCTGCTGGGCTGTAGACCTCACCTACCCCAGTGGTGTTTACGGCTTAAGCATATGCGCAGTCTGTAACACTTTATGTGCATAAATCAAAGCATGCTTTATCTTCTGTACCATTGACTTATAGCTCACTGCTAATCCTAAAAGCCTATATTAGGGACTTATCCCACACTCATGTTATATCTTCTTCTATCATGTGTAATGGATGTCAAAGGCATTGCCCACAATTTGTCAGTACCAATGCCTTGAAAATTATGAGGTATTTTTTCTCGGATTTAAGCTAGAATACAAACTAGAACCCCATGTATATTTATTGTACATTATTATATTATTTCCTAAGTTGTCTTGCAATTTATAAAAGTGCTATAGATCCCATGTTCACCAAATCCCACTTGCAGTGATATATATGGCACTGGTGAATATCAGACCACCCCCTGAACTCCCAGAAATCCTCCAGGTGGCTTGTGTACTTGCAGTGACACCCAGCACCGACTCAGCGCCACCTCCGCCGTCCGCCGTGACAGGACATGTCTGGCTTCACCTGGAAGAAGCGGTCGGCTCAGAGCGTGGCCAAACGACCTCGCCTCGCGCCGTTCTCGGTGCCGGACTCCGACTCGGACAGGTCGCCGTCGCCGCCGCGCCGCTCCGCCCCGCTGTTCTCGGGCGGCCGGCCGGCGCTGAGCGCGGGCGAGCAGGCGGCAGGCGCTGCGCGAACAGGGCGTCGCGCTGGCCGAGCTGGACCGCTTCTGGGAGGCGCTGCGCCTCTGGACGAAGCGCTGCGCTGGCGCCGGCCGACGCGGAGCTGCACGAGATGCGCGCGCAGGCGTTGCTGCGCCAGCACGAGCTACAGCCAGCGCTGGAGGCGGCGGCGTGCGCGGTGCGCCTGCGGCCGCGCTGGTGGCCGGCGCAGCAGACGCTCGGCCGCGCACTGCTCGGACTCGGTGAGCTGGGCCTGGCGCGTCGCGCCTTCTCTGTGGCCATGCGGCTGCAGCCGGATACGGAGCTGTGGCGCGAGGACCTGCTTTGGAGCTGCCGGCTGCTGGAGCGCGCGCGCCGCCGCCGCGCTCAGGGCGGCGAGATGAGCGACGCTGGCGGCGTGGTGTCACCGGCACAGACCGATGAGGTGCGCGCCCTTGCTTGGACTTGACGAGCGCGTGGCGGCGGCGGTGGCGCGCTGCCACGCGGACTGGACGCCGCTGGCCGAGGACAGAGCGGAGGAGGAGGAGGAGAGAGCGCGCGCCGAGGAGGGCAGCGACGAGTCGGACGTAGATATGGGTGCCGGGGACCCGCAGCCGCGTGGAAGGGCATGATAGCGACATTCTAGCGGTTCTGTGCGATCCGTAGCGCGGCTTCTGAGCGATGGTACGCAGCGCGAAAATTATTGATGGTTCAGGACGTGTCAACGGTAAGGGTAAATGAAGGCCTTGGCCGTTGTTGGACGACTGAATATGTGTTGATTGATGGGCGTGAGGCTGAAAGTGTGTCTGAGTGTGAAAGGTGTGAAAGGCCAGCAGCACTGTTGCGGAACGCACATGACGTTGATTAACAGACTGTCTTGTCTCAGGACATATATCCGGTTGACGTATCAGCCCCTGACGCCGTGAGCAGCCCCGACGCGTTTATTACACACCCGGTCCCGAGCATCACAGTAACGATATTTAAACACTGTCGCCCACACGCATAACCTTGCATCACACATATAAATCGAATAAATACGCAACGGGTATACAGTTCATCACCACACGCAACAACTCCGGCATCGGTACACCTCAGCCCGTGCGTACCAGCGAAGCCCCCACCAAGCACCCTGTGTCGCGTTGTCCTGTTTGTATAAAAATAATCCGGCGGCAGATGTGCGGGCGGCGGGTGAAGCTGGTGGCGTGGCGCCGCGAGCGGACGGTTGGCGTCTATATGGCCTCGTAAGCCTCGTCCACGGCCGGGCCGGAGTCCCGCTCCAGAAAGTCCTCGAGCGCGTCCCGCTCGCGCTGCGCCGCGCTCCGGTCCGCCTCCCGCTCCTTGTGCTTCTTTTTCTTTTCTTCTCCCCGTTCTGGAGCGAAGGGGCTACGTCAACGAAGTGCGGCAAACTTGCGTGGCTGAAGAATGTCAAGTCCATTTTGCAAGTGGAAACCTATCAGGAAGTATGCATGGGGCGGACAGAGGAAGAAAAAATCTGAAACGCAGAGCTTGGCATGTTAGGTTAAGTTAGCCCGATGTCGACAGGTGAAGAAACGTTTCAAAAATGTCCAAATCCAATTTTTAGGTTCAATCTGCACGCGTCACCATAGTGCCACGGTACCCACGCCCCCTCCCCGTGTTCCCGGGACTGTGTCCGCACAAGAACAAGAACCAGCGTAACGCGAGCGACAGTAGGGGGGTTGGCCTATCCAGCGCCGCCAACCTCCGCCGGCCACGGTCACCACGGCGCTGACCTCTTTCTCCTTCTCCTGTCCTTCTTTTTCTTCTTCTTCGTCTTGTGCGCCGCCTCCGCGCCACTGTCGGTCTGCACCTTCTGCGACGCTTCCTCCGGCTCGCTCTCCACCGCCGCCGCGATGGACTCGTCGGGCGCGGGGGGCGGCGCCACGAGTCGCACGTCGCGCCGCCGCCGGCCGGCCGCCCCCGCGTCGGGCAAGTCCACGGCGCTGGCCGGCGGCGGCGGCGCCGGTTCCTCGTCGCTGGAGTCGGGCAGCGCGTGGCGGTCGTGCCGCGGCGCCCCCGACACCAGCTCCAGGTCATCAATGTCGTCCTGGAACCCGGCCACCATCGGATTGCCGGCCGCCGTGTCGTCCTCACTGGAACACGACCACACCACACGCTAACGAGACATTCAACAACCATACGCGGCAGCTAACAACCGCAAACTCGGCCGGGCGTGTAACAAACCGGTTTACGTTCGTGAACGACAGCTATGTCAGAGCTCAGGCACTGAACACCTGGCCGCAGCTGAAGGCCCCGGTACAGGCCAGGCACCTGGCTTATCATGGGCGCAACAAGCGGGACTCTCGGCACCAAAACAAACTGAAAAAAAAACACTTAGGTCGGCCGCTGACAGAGCCAAAACGTCTAACTACTCGACGTACAGGAGGCTGTATAAAGGAGCTAGACAACGGGCCTGGTAATGCCGGCTCGACCGAAATCGCGCAGCGCACGAGCCTGCGAAGCTAGCTGCACGCGTCAAACGTCACGTATGACGCGCTTTAAACGAGCGTCACAACAAAACTGGGGCGGCGACAGGCAAAAAGTAACACTCGCAGCATGGCCACAACTCAACACGAGCCGAGGACGCTGCCGAAAGCCAGCATGCAAGGCGTCCAAAACGAGTTCCTTTCAGTGAACACCGGATCACGCAGCGATGCTGACAGGCCGAGCCACACCGCTCTCTCCCGCGGTGGGAGCGCCGACCGCCCGAGGCCAGGCGTGGCGCCCGCCAGCGGCAGCAGCGGCGCTCTCCGCCGGGAACGCGCTGCGACCAACCTGTCGGAGCCGGGCGGCGCCGCGGCCGCCGTCTTGGAGGGCGTCGCCTGGGGCGTCACCTCGTCCAGGAAGTTGGCATCAAGCGCGCCGTCCGGCACGAACGCGTCCACGTTGTGCCGCTCGGGGCTGGCCGCCGCCGCCGGTGGTGGCACTGCGGAGGGAGCGGCGGGTCACGCGGCCGGCCAGCGCGGCCTCCACACCGGGCCAACGGCAGCCCGCCGTCGTCGGAAGGTTCCGAACTTTGGCGGGGACGGTTACGTGGGGAGGGGGGGGGGGGCGAATCATGTCCTATTTTGCCGCACAAGTGACGTTCAGGAGTTTCTTCTCGCGACGCAAGGTTGCGCAGGAATTAATCATTGCATGCATTAGGCAGTTAGGGATCAATACCTGATTCGATCCTGAAAAGACAGAACTTCACATAGGAGCCCGGCGCGGAGAGTCATCAGCGCCATCCGATCAAATGATGATTGATCTGCCTGACGCCGGGCCCCAGTCGTGCCTGGTAGCCGCTGTAGACCTGCTTTGACGTCAGCCAGGTCCGCACGCTCGGCACACCGGCCGCCAGTTCAGCTGACACAGCAGACCGGCAGACAGGGCGGCGACAGCTCGCCGCACGGGTCGCCGCGTCTGACTTGGTCCACACGTGCCCGACCTGCCCCCGCCCCCTCCCTCCTCATGTCCGGCTTAACCGGCGCCCGTCTGATTTGACCAGCGCCCGTCTGTCTTAGCCAGCATCCGTCTGACCTAAGCAGCGACCGTCTGACCTGACTGGCGCTCGCCTGACCTGATAAGCACCCGTCTGACCTGACCTGCCCCTCCCCATCTGAACCTGCGGCTCCGTTGATGGGCCCCGGCGAGCGGTCGCCGCTGGCCGCCGACCCGGCTGGGGAAGGCGCCGAGCGGGCGGTGGCGGCGGTGGCGGCGGCGGCGGCGGCAGTGGCGGCCTCCGACGGCGGCCCCGGTCCGGCCGACGACGCCGACAGCTGGCCCGGCTGGGAGACGCTCCGCGGCAGGCCGGCGCCGCCTTCGGCACGGCAACCGTCGTCAGCGCCGGCCGGAGCGCGTGTGATAACGGTACACGGGGTCTCGGAAGAGCGGAGTCACGCGGCTATCTTAAGCAACGGGGAAACAGCGCTCCGCTGAGCTGCGGCGCCACATAGCTCACGTAACACGTTCGCCTGAGGTGCACGAGGGCGACGGCCGGCAAAGCTGGAGGCCAGCAGATGAGACTACCGAACACACGGCGCGGTTTCAAGTCTTGCAATCCACTGCTTTTTCATGGTACCCGCTACCTACACCATGCCAGGACATAACAGCGCCCATCATCGTGACACCGTCCGGCGGCACTCAGGGCCGAGCTTTTGGTCGCTTACAAGTGTCGCACCCCCATCCTTGACCTGCGCCCAACGCTGCAGAAAATGGGACATCAAGTGTTGCGAGCACGTGCGGCATGAGGCCGCAGCCGAGCGGCCAGCCAGCATCAGCGCCGCAGACCGCCCGGCCAGCCAGCGTCGGCGCCACTCACCGGCCTGGCGAGTTCCGGCCGAGTTTAGTGCCACTGTCGTCTGTGAGTGCGGCATCTTCTGCGCCGGCGCGTTGGCGTCTGCCGTCTGGCGCCGCTTGTTGGCCAGCTGGTCGATGAACCTGTGGCAGGCAGCACCGTGTTGGCGGTGTCGCGTGGCGCACGACAGTGCGGCCCTGGTCGATGGCGGGTCTCGGGTCACTACAAAGCTCTCCGGCATTTCCAGAAAAAAAGCGGGTGCAGTCTGCTAACATAAGAGATAAGGCGCCCGCCAAGCAAGGTCAGACCACTTCCTGTCGCACCACCATCTGGCAGTGAGGAGTGAGACGCTAAGTGAGGAGTCAGACGTTTTGCGGTTGTGCTGACGAATACCTGCGGTGGAATAACCGACGCAGTTGGCGCGCAATGCAAACAGAACTATTTAGCATCAGTATTTGATCACTACCGTTTTCTGTCACTTCTCTGGTCGTCTGATGCCTACCGTTCCACTAACAACCGAAGCGACCATGCAAATTCCAACATACATCCCCGTCCCTCCCCGGGACCGGCAGACCGGCAGCCAGCTGGGCCCGCTCCCCCGACGCCACCCACACGCCAGACCGGCAGCCAGCTGGGCCCGCTCCCCCGGCGCCACCCACACGCCAGACCGGCAGCCAGCTGGGCCCGCTCCCCCGGCGCCACCCACACGCCAGACCGGCAGCCAGCGGGGCCCCGCTCCCCCGACCGCCACCCACACGCCAGACCGGCAGCCAGCTGGGCCCGCTCCCCGCGCCACCCACACGCCAGACCGGCAGCCAGTGGGCCCGCTCCCCGGACGCCACCACACGCCAGACGGCAGCCAGCTGGGCCCGCTCCCCCGAACGCCACAACGCAGAACGGCAGCCAGCTGGGCCCGCTCCCCCGACGCCACCCACACGCCAGACCGGCAGCCGCTGGGCCCGCTCCCCCGACGCCACCCACACGCCAGACCGGCAGCCAGCTGGGCCCGCTCCCCGACGCCACCCCACACGCCAGACGGCAGCCAGCTCGGCTTCGCTTCCCTGACGCCACCCACACGGTCGTAGTTGGCCTCGTTCCGACTCCTCGTAGAGGTCGAGCTCCTGGTGCGTGGCCTCCGTCTCCCGTTCGTTGGTGGCCAGCTGGGTGACCCAGGCAGGCGCGCTGCAGCGTCAGGAACGGCACGTTCAGGAAACGATGCAGTAGCTTCAGGCCGAAGCCGTTTCCGCATGGACGACTCGGTGCGTATCGCACCAGCGCGTCGCCGTCAGGCCTGAAGAGGCACGCCATCGTGACGACAGTGAGCTGCTGATGTGGTGATGTCTATTAAGTCCTGCCGCTGCTGTCTTAATGACCGGCGTGTTATTATGGTGACGTGGTTATGATAATAGGGGACTGCAGTGAGTTATTGCATGACAGTGCGCTGTCAGAAATGTCAGAGCGTTGAGTATAAGATAATGCTGATGAGATCTGCGCAACTGAGGATCCCAGCCGGCTGACCCAGCCATAGAATGCATGCGGGAAGGATGTACCAGACTCAACATGGACAGCCCTGTTGGCCACCACAGCCTATGATGGTGGTGTCTGACCTGAACACAACCCTCGAAACACATGTGACAGGGTCTCGTCCACTCCGTGGGTCAGCTACGAGGTACGGCCATGGCCGGCAGTCCTCACCCCTCATGCCTCATCCCTCGTCGGAGCCCTCGTCCTCCTTGCCGGACACCCCCCCCCCCCTTGATCTCTTCCAAGTGCTCAAACTCTTCCGGACACTCGGCACTCTTTCTCCTGACATCCGTACCTCCCGAACGGTCCCCAAGCCCCAAGTGCTAACCCTCAGAACTTACCGGGCTCCTCTAAACGCTGGCCCCGCCGCAGCACACTCGCTCCTCCCGCCCGGAAAACTAACCCCGCCGGGGCCCAGCTCCGCCCCCCCCCCCTCTCCTAACCCCACCACGCGCACCACTGGACGTGTCCGGAGAAGCACGCCACCTCCTCCACGCCGCCACCCTGCCAACGGCCGCCCCCCCCCCCCCCCCCCCCCCCCACCTCACACCGACCTCTGGACGTTCTCGGCGAAGAAGCGCACGTCGTCCTCGCGCACCTGGCGGTGGTGGCCCATGTCGCGGTGGTTGCCCAGCACCAGCACCGGGATATGGCCCGGGATGCGCGGCACCTCGCGCTGCACGTACTCGAACGTCCTGTCGCCAGCGCCAGGTGACACAGTGGTTGGAGCGCGTGCCGCACACCGACAGGCCCGCCGCTTGACTCCCGCTGCAGGCAGCTATGGCCGGCCTGAGGCCATCCACGTGTGGCGAAGTCCATGGCCGCAGATGCTACATGCGTGAGGGAAGCGGCGAAACGCCACGCAGGGAACGAAGGAAGCAGGGACAGCCACCAGCCGCCATCCTTGGTGAGCATTCCCGGGCTGGAATTCGGTGTGGTCAGTAGACCAAGGTGGATCGTCGATGGCTTTAAGCGGATGGGCAATTCTTTCTTAATTCCAGTATTTCTTCACATTCATTCGGCCAACTGCATGGTAATGCATTGCTGATCGACAAATACAAGGCGCATATTCATAAGCATTGCCACCTGTCATGACGGCTGCACCACACCGGCCCGTGCTGCCAGTCGGTCTGTCCGTCCCGCAGCCCAGCTGGTTAGAACGCCTGTTTGGATTCGCCCACCCACGACAGCATGGCTCGAGTCACTTCACGCGTTCGCTACTCAACCCTTGACTGAGGTGACCTGCGGCTGGTGGTAGCGTCCGAGCTGAAGGCCGGATGACGTCAGAGGGTAGGTCGGAAAGTGCCGGGATTTTGGCAAGCTAAACTTTCGCAACAAAGTTCTGCCGTGGACCCGGCATATTACGCTGAAATAACGGGTCGGGGTTCACGCATCAAGTGCCGTCTAATGTAAGCTAGGATCTTAAAAATAATCGAATAAAAAACTTCGCTTTTAATTTTTCAAGAGACCAGGTAAATATTCTGTCCTGCAGAGGATTTTAGCTCGAGTCTCCGAGCCACGGTCTGACGCCCTCCTGACTGCGCACATCCCACGTCCAGTGCTAAGCTCGGTACATTCATCAAGTGCGCAGCTTGCTGGCTGACGCGAGACTGCACAGCACGGTCGGACGTGGACGTGCCGTGGCGTGGACGGACCGTGACGTGGACGGGTCGTGCCGTGACGTGGATGGACGAGCCGTGACGTGGACGGGTCGTGACGTGGGCAGGCAGTGGCGTGGACGGGCTGTGGCGCGGATGGACGTGTTATGGGCGCGGCTGCCGCACTGATAAGTGGCGTTTACACATCTACGTTCAAAATACAACATAAAGAAGCCGTGCATGCAGCACGGTTGCTGGATCGGTACCAATCGCAGCAAAAGGGGCGAGTGCCCCGCTCCTCCCGGACCGCCAGGGTAACAGTGGGTCTGCCTGGGGCAGTGTCGCGGCCCGTCAGTGTAACAGCGAGTCTGCCTGGGGCAGTGTCGCGGCCCGTCAGTGTAACAGCGGGTCTGCCTGAAGTGGCGTTCCGGACCGCCGTGTATCGCACGAAGATGGACAACGGCGAACGTCGCCACCGCCGCGGCCAGTGGAGGCGGCCACGGCCGGCGCACGACCACCAGCCGGGGTGTGATGCGAGTTTGTTGTAATTCGTGCGGATGTAAGAAGAGGACGGACGTGTGTGCCTGCTTTGCGCTGATTGAGATGCACTACAACTGACCTACGTGCTTGTTCTTATGCGTTACACTTACGGGACCACCTTATAAGTGTAATACAAGTTTGAAATGGTTTGATCCAACTTATTGCCAAATCGCCCGAGTTCTGCATTGCAAGTCTTGTGATTTGCCGAAGCCGTAAAATAGACTGACCGCCGGCTGCCGGCCACCTCAGCACCACTCACCAGGCCTTGGTGATGTCGAGCACCATGACGACGCCGTGGGTGCCCTTGTAGACGTCCAGGAACTCGGCGTCCAGTGCTACCTCGTCCGGCACGGCCGCGCTGCTGTTGTCCAGCTTCAGGCCTGACGGCACCGGCGACAAGTCAGAGGGAGGGGGGGGGGGGGGGGGCACACCCCGCCTCCGCGATGTTCTACATTGGCTCCAAGGCATGATGTGGAAAAGAACCACACGTCGACTCCAATGTCCGCCAGCCAACGTTAGCGGCAGAGTCGGAGCGACAGGGCCGGTACGGCACGGACGTAGAGCGGGGGGAGGGGGGGGGGGGGGGGCACAGAGTGGTGCGTCAAGCCATGGTAAGGAACAATACGGCAGGGTGGGATATGGCAGGACGGCAGGTGAGGCACGGCGGGAAAGAGCAGGCGCCGGAGAGACGACATCATTGGGCAGGATTTAGCTCACACATTATCAGCTGTCCCACGTCCTATAATAGGTGAACGTAAAGGCAGGCAGGGACGGAATGACACGGCAGAGTAGGATGCGGAAGGGCACTACATGACAGGCAAGGTTGGGCATGCCTGGAAATGTCCCACGTCATAAAAGCCAACATGATTCGAACACCCCAAACCGCATGCTGGTAGACTGAACTAGTCAGAAACATGACCGGAGCGGTAAGTCCCGGCAGGCAAGACCCAGGGTTGTCGGGAACATCAAAAACGTCGCTAAGAACATGGTTCATCCTGAAATAATGCCTGTTAAAGTACTGTCCTACACTCCGGTCCGTCACCTAGCCACTATCTAGTCCAACCGAAAGGCGACAGACACGAGCCTTGAGGTCACACGGCCACCCCTTCCGTGCCCGCAGGCAGGCGGCCAACACACCACCAGGCTCGCACATCTCCCCAGCAAGGACCGCGATGGTCTGGCCCGGTGGGTCAGGCCCACCGACTGCCGTGGGTGGTCCGGGCGCGATAGCCCCCCGGCGCTCAGATGGCCGCCCTGCGCGGTGGCAGTCCACTTCGCTACATGGCCTGGGTCGCCTCCCTCACAACAGATGCGACTTACCTTCCATTTTCTTCTTCTTCTTCGCCTTATCGACGACGTCCCAGATCTCGACCTTGACCACGTCATCGGTGGCCTTGTACGACCACTGTATGCTCGCCACCTGCCGACAGGGACTGGTCAGGGGAAGCCTCGCCAGCTGCCGCACGGCCACTCCACGCACGTTGGCAGAATGCACGGGTGCCATGACACATTATGTCAGCTGTGAATATTGACAGGTTTATGATCAGGTTTATCAATTGGATATTCACAGCGTAAATAATTCACAGGCAAAAGTCCAACTGCGCACGCAGTCCAATTTCAAAACTAATACATGCATGACACCCACACACATTAAAACCCTCATCACACACACACACACTGCACACAGTTACACACATGACTTACACACTCAGACACAACGATCATGAACAGAGCACTTCACAAGTACGAGCGAACCGGAACAAATCTGACCCGAATGACTTTGTTGGGTGGACAGAGTCCGTTGAATGAGAACACTGAAGAAAACCATTGCAGGCAATGGGTAGACGCGCGACAAATCCATTTTACCAGTGTTGACCATTGCAAATGGCTCGTTGAAAACGTGCAACATTAACACGGAGACCTGAATAATTAAAGGTAATGTAAACATCGACGGTTGTAAAATCGTCGTTTAACGGCACATACTGCCGTGCCGTATACTCGCGCACGACCCCTGCACTGATAATAGCCATCTGTCAATACATACGAGATACAGGACTGTCCGGAGTCGCCGGGGTCGGGGCTGTTCGGAGACACCTATGCAATTAAAGAAGTTCCTTGAATGAAACGCTCTAAACCATTTCATGCGGTGATAAATTTCCGAAGCTAATGTCACTAATGAGGTCCTCCGAGTCAAGCAGGATTTTTAGAGTTCCTTCGGGAGAGCCATGAGCCATTCCGTGGCAAGAACGGTGTCCTACCGCCAATTTAGCTCACTGCGTTGGAGCGACTGCCTCCCAACCCACCCCGGTGACGGGTGGAAGCTCGAGCCGACACACACGCTTGCTCTACGCCCCTCAGTGGGATAGTCAGCGGCAGCGGCGCTCAAGGTCAGATAGGGTCAGACGCTGGGATGGACCAATCTCATTGCGGCTCGTCAGGCTTTTGCCACAGAATTCTGCCGATGAACTCAAATTTTACGAGCGGATGGTGTGGTCAGAGGTTACACAAGCACTGCTTTGTGTGAGCTCTGGTTCCAGAAAGCCATTCAATCAAAAAGATTCGAACTAAATCAATCAAACAGTAAATATCACCCTAACGTACGTAACACTCCACACAACATACGGCCTCACTGCAAACATGCATAAAAGTTCGTACCTACTTCGTGGCTTCAAGGGCCCAGAATTTCATGCCACGAATGCAGATGCAGCGGAGTAAAAGGAAACATCACATGGATCAGCAATACGCTGGACTAGTCCAGCGGCGATAAATTCGATACGGAATGTAACCGTTTGTACACGTGCAAGGATTTGTAGCAAACGCCCGCACCCTGCAAGTGTGTCCAACCAAAGCGCGTGCCTGTGCGTCAGTGTACCGTACCACAGCGATGCACCTTGAGCCCAGCTCTGTACATACATTGTGAAAGCTCTCAGTCCGGCCACACGTGCAGCGTCTCCACATTAAGAGCCACCGAATAACTAGCCAGGTAAGTACCAAGGCCAAGTGCATCAATGCAGAACCTGCGTGAAAGTAAGTTACCTCGCCTGGCGTCGTAGGCATCAATGACAAAACTGTTCCACTTTTTAGTTTATTTGGGAGGAAACTGCAGAGTGTCATGCCATTTCACATGGTCCTTTAGCATGAAAACAAACCTGAAGCATCGGGTCTGGATCTTGTTGCAATTAGGGCTTTATGACGCATTTATCAGCTGCCTACATGGCGTCGCCCGTCGCTCACCCGGGCAGGAGAGGCAGGCACAGAGAGGAATAGACGCACATGTTTGCTTTCTTGGACACCTCGCGGCTCCGTTCCCAAAATACGGGATTTCCGCTACTTAACTTTAAGATTCATATGCAGGCTATTTCTTAAGCAGGAAGTTATTTTACAGTGCGGAGGCCTAGAACACTATACGTGGCACGTATGTACATACATGGAGCGTTTAATGTAATTAAAATAATGGTGAATGTAATTTTGAGGCTAAGTATTTCGGAGAATATGTGACAAAAAAGCTCAAGTCGGCTGCAAAATCCCGTCAAATCAAGCACGACACTTGATTCCAAGCTTCATAACGGCTAGCCCGTTGGTCGACGTGACCAGCGGATGGCTAGTGACTAATGTAGAGTTTTTGTTTTGATCGTAATGAAGAACAAAATATCCTAGCATTCAAAATGTGTTAAGAACGCAATGCACAAGTATAATAAGTGTCACTCATTCCACGAGGAACGGAAATGGCACACACGACGTCCGCAGAGCGCAATATCGTCTTAGCCAATTGCACGTAGAAATTCATTGGAATATATCCCACCATCGCTCTGCAGCGAAGACGCCAGGGAAAATCGTCACCGCGTGGATTTCGCCCTTGTGTACGTGAACTGACTTAGCCAGGCCCGTAAACACGGGCAGGCGCACCGCCATGAGTGACGGGAGAGCTGGCGCTCACAAGCACATGTGAAACTCTCGGCAACAAAGCAAGGTCTCTAGACTTCATCGGAAGAGCCTACGACCAATATGGAGGGCCTCGAAGCGATCAAGAGTGCGTTGGCAGGTTGGCATGCCAGGTCCCGACAACAGCAGTGGGCCCATAGAGCAAATACAAATAAATCAAGGGCAACGTGGAAGGCTTCTTAGCGATCGGATTGCCCCGGCAAGTGGACATATAGGGCTCCGGCATTAGCGTAGGGCCTCTGGACACCGTAATGAGCACTTAAACCTCCCCAATCTCCACCATCTCAACCAACGAAAAATAATTTGACATTCACTTTCACTTGCGACTGTTCTCAGTCGTTCGAAGGTTCAAAGATGTCCAATTTTGCTGTATTTTGTGGGGAAAAACTACACCCGTTCGGACGATCATGGGACCCTTCGGCGCATATAGGGCATTTCAGGGCACAAGGGAGGGTGGCTCCATGCCCTCCTCCGGACCCGCCACTGGCCAGACCAAGCTTAAAGCAAATGCTCCACATTTGAACGGGGCTTTGAACTGAAGTAACCACCTTGGAGATCATTCGGTGTAGTTCACGGCCCTGCTCTTCTTAAGGCCTGAACCCCTCTAGTTTTTGAGCTACAAGCCCACCAAAATGTACAGATTTTTTGTGCAGACCATTCGAAAGTCCCCCGGCATTCATGACACGATAAAAACGCCATTCGAATCGTGCCATTTCATTGCATACAGAAATCAAGGTTAAGAAAAACATATGTATTTGTTGGGTCGGTCATGAGGCGTTCGTGAGCGCGACTTCCAGACGTAACGGGTGTCAATTAGTCCTCAATCAATGATGTGCAAAGTACCATCGCGCAATAAAACAATGACGTCTTGAGAAACATGTTTTCGTAATGGACATTGTGTTGTCGAGACAGTCTTTTCCATCTAGAGCACCAATGATTAGAAGTGAGGTTATTTCATCATACCAGACGCTTGCTTCAATGGCTCCAAATGTTGAACAATCCCTTTAAGCGCTAAATTGTTTTTGGCGCTCAGATCTTAAATCATTCTCCTAAAACCTTCAAATCATTTTACATCTTCCAGGCGCTACCAAAAGTCCGTTAATTACTTTATGAAAGCGCGCGTGGCTTTAACGTGATTACCGTGAGAAGTGCGGCCGCTGGCAGAAAATTGCGTCTTTGGCGAATACGGTAACCTCCACAGTGAACTAATTATGCAGCGTGCTTTATGCGGGGGAGTCGAAGCACCACCTATGCGAAGCCCAACTCACCCTATTCTCGCGGAGGTTCCAGCAGGCCTCCGCAGCGGCTTGCAGGCAGCGACTATAGTTGATGCGCATTATGTAAAGCTGATGTGCGATGTGAATGTGAAGTCAACGTGAGTGGTGTGAGTAACAACCCACCCAAAATTGACTGCGGAAGATGCCTGAAGTTACAAGCCCCGGGCATTGCGTAAAACTGAATAGAACTGATGATATGAACTGAATGATGATAACTGAACTGAATACCACTTCGCTGTCACCGCCATATCATACGAGGAGTTCAAGCAAGATAGCACCTGACTTGGGTAATTCGACACGTTACAAAATACAGGGAAGCTCGGTCCCGACAGAAATCAGCCAGATCAGAGCATTCAAAGTGAGAACATGGCTTTATAATATCACGCTAATCTCCACCATACATAAAAACGTCAAAGATAATTATATCTGGCGGCAAAGGCCGACGCGTCTTCCATCATGTTAGCTCCATTCGTTAGCTCTGCCAGCCTAAAGAGCCGATTTCCGAGTCCTGGGATTAGGTAGAGGTGCAGCGCAAGGCGATGCCGAGACCGGAGATTGGGCAGAGGTGCAGTGAAGGACGATGCCGAGACCGGGGATTGGGCAGAGGTGCAGTGAAGGACGATGCCGAGACCGGGGATTGGGCAGAGGTGCAGTGAAGGACGATGCCGAGACCTGAGATTAGGCAGAGGTGCAGTGCAGGACGATGTCGAGACTTGGGATTAGGCAGAGGCGCTGAGAAGGACGATGCCGAGACCTAGGACTGGGCAGAGGTGCAGTGAAGGGCGATGCCGAGACCTAGGATTGGGCAGAAGTGCGGTGAAAGGCGTGGCCGGGACAGCCGCGCTATCCCAGACCACGACACTGCCTCGCGAAGTGCCGTAACACGCTGCACGTGCCGCGGAAGTGTGGGCACTCCCGCTGGGCGGGAGAGCCGGGTGCAGCTATCGGCGCAGCACGTCTGATGTGGCGCTGAGGCTTCAGCATTGAGCGAGGGTATCAGATCAGAGGGCCTATGGGTGTGCCAACCGCTCCAGCCAGCACGCAGCCGGGTTGCATGGACTGCACGCGCCTCAGCATCCCCCAGCGGACACATCCGTTTGGCATTTCGAGTGCTCTGCTACCGACCGAGGTGTAGCACTCGTGCCTCGCACATTTAATTATGGCCCATTCGCGGCGAAAAGGGACCGCTAGTCACCACAACCATATTCATATCAAGCCTGCATTACATTCATCATAACCAAACAATGCACGGATTTATCTGCAAAAGTATGCGATGCATATGAAGTGTCTCACGGCTTTGTGATTGGCACCTGGAAGTGTACGGCGGTGTGTATGAGATTGCAAACGTTCCATCCGGCGGAACCACTACTGACTCCTGGTTAGGCAATGTCGAGTGAGTCCAAACGAGTGAACCGCCACGAGTGGCGAGTAGTCTCCTCCACAGCTACACCGTGAAGAAAGCCTTTTGGCATAGGGAAGGCATTCTTTCGTGAAGAAGGCATTCTACCATAAAGAAGGCAAGGCGTGCTTTGCGCCAAGAATCCATGCATCGTTAATGGCCGAAGACGTAATGTACGCACTTTACGCCCATGTTTAATGTGATCCCGTTACTTAATCACACCGTGTTTCCTGTACTAGTGGCGGACGACTTATGGCAGCCCATTCAAACAGCCATCCTTTTCACGCTTGGGTTTTTCGAGCGATAGATGATTTGACCCCAATGCATTCTACAGCAGCCTAATTCTAAAACGGGCGCAAAGGGGATAAACAGGGGCGAACACCGTCGCTTGTCGACAGACATCAACACAGCCGGTACACGTTACCCTGGGAGCATGTTTTCGTCTTCATGTCCGAAAACACGCTCCCAGGTTATACTACTGATAATCGTAATGCACGATGTATTTTACGTCTGCCTTTCTGGTCTCATGGGACCTAATCATACAGTACCGCAAATGTCAAATCACGAATAGGTATACGATTTTTAAATGATGTGTTTATTGCCAGACAGCTCCCACACCCACATATACACACCCATGCACACTGTTCATCCACGCCCATGGAGCTCTAAATGGTGCCGTTACATAAAGCGGATGGCGCTGCGTACACATCGCTCAATGAACATATTTCAGTTCGTGTCGCTGTAGTTGTACTTCGTAAGGGATGTTTTACAACGCCCCTGCTTGTGCAATACAGTCGGTGACATTTCACAATGCGATCCATGGCTCCGAAACCTAAGCAATGCCATTCTATATTTACCGCATCAAAATTCTAGCCACATGTCATCTGAAATGAATGGACTCCATCCTTGTTTCAGTGCTTACATCTTACTGTTGAGAAATGATGATGATGATGATTTGGGGTTTTAGGGCGCATCGACTGCTGTAGGTCATGCAGCGCCCATTTTCTGTTGAGAAGGGCAACTTGCTTTCCGATTTGCAATGTTCTGTTTAGGTAGATACAACATGGCTCACATGTAATCTCACCTTCCCTGAACCTTTGAAGAGCAATGAACTATTTGAGTAGCAACGTAACCCAGTTGACTTTTGAAATTCTGTCCATGTATCGTCAAAATGGACGTTGCATGCCACCCACCGTTTTTTGTGCAGTATGCATATTCTCCTGTAATTCTAGCATTATAGGGGCTTAAACTCGAGCTGCCTTAATGTTTTTTTTAAATTTACTTAAAATTTCATGCAAAAAAGACGTCCTTTTAGACGTCCCTTCAATCAGACGTCAATGGTGCATCTCCATCTCGCAACATAACCTTCCACTGCCTCCGTATGACATGGCACCACTTCATGCATGTCACGAGATTTAGGCATTATGGTGCGTTTTCTCTAAACGCACTGTAGTTACATTTCAGCATATCTTCTCGCTGTAATGGGAAGATTGCATCAATTGTTGATACAACTGGCGCCTCGACTGTGCAGTCACATCGCGCCCATTGTAATGGGTAGATTGTGGCCGCCAGTATTTTGACGATTGAGACTTTCTTGGCCTTTTTATTTTATTTTACCCAGTCACGCATTTCAGCCCCTTTCCTGTATGTTTTCGCAAGGCGTTGCTCTGCTAACCTTAGGTGGACGTCCTCGCCACGCGAATTCCATCGTGCGGGTTTGGATCATGTCTAAATCAATCCTATCAACTTGGCTGCATGCCATCACATACGTCAGCCGAGAAACGACGAGGGGCGAAACGACGAAAGTCGACTGCGACTTTCAGTTATTAGCGACTGCTACCTCCGACTCTATGCAGTAGCTTAACCTAAAAATTATTAATTACCGAAATTCAGCCATCTTAAAAGTACATGCAAATAATCGTGCTCTACTTTGCTATAAACGTTTTTACATAACGCAATACGAACTTATCCCAATTATCGGCGTTGCAATAGCCTGACACATCATAGTTTGCAAGCTTTCACCTATGTATCTGCCTCGTATACTTGCTGTTTAGTCTCTACTCTCCAGCTTGCCAACCGCGTAAACGACCCCGCTAGCAATCAGTTTCGACGCTGTCTTACACACGATATCTCAGAGGCAGGCACGTCGCTCATCTCAAATATGCTTTGGATTTCCTTTCCGGGACTCAAGTTATCACTTCTCGCCGCTGTGTCCCCAAGAGCTTAGTTGAACGTGCTCCGTTGATATAGCTCGCTTAAGTCGCCGATTTGATTCCATACAAAACTGAAAAAACTTTTGAAAAGCCTTCCATATACGTGATGATGACAAAACAGCCTGCCCGAAGTAATAATCATTGGTCATTGCTATAACGTTGACGACACATAGGTGTTTCGCACTCCCTTATCCTATTTTCCATGTACTTCAGATTCGGTACCCAGCAAGGCACCATAATGCTTGCGTGAAAATCGCTCATGCGTGACATACCATTTATAAAGCGTTATACATGGTAACCGATTCGAACCAAGCAAATAATTTCAAACGCGTAGTGCCCACACGGATACAGAGATACCTTCGAATTCTGTCACGTTCACGGCAAATGGAAGCACTGCTCGCCCCGCCGGTGCTTGGAATGCAGGCACCGAACACCAAACGGCTGACGCAGGCTCAATGTCCCATTCTCAACGGCGGTCAAGTACGCTCCCGTCGGCCACGACTTCGCGGTCGCATTGTTACCCAGCGACGCACCAGAGCGTGCGGTCCACCAAACCTGATGGCCCACCGGTCACAACGCCTAACGCCTCGCTCTCCTGCCGTCGGTCATGCCGGGCGCCGTTTGATAGTGACCCCAGGGCTGACCAGAATGTCACGGATTCATCTTTAAAGACACTGCGCCCACTTCCCACTCTGTTCCCTGGTAGACTTTGATCCAAATCGCGCTTTTCTATGTCTCATGGTTTGCTTCGCCTTTCGACCCCAACGTGATTTGGCTCCAATACCGCAAGGACTATGCTGGCGACTGCAGTGCTATTAAGCTGTGTCCGATCCTAAGTAATATACACAGCTGATAATGTAACATAACTTGACGTACCAACGATGGTTGTTAATCGTTTATATATGACTCACATTACCGATACTAGCTAAACGCTGAATGCAATTGGGCGGTTCGAGTTCAAACTTGCATCATGTCTCATTAACAAAGGATGGAGCCTAGCCCACATACTATTTGCGACCACGATTCAGACCAACCTATCGATACTTTGGAACGTAGATACACACAACCAAACTCAGCGAGCGCTTCAACTTCATCACCTATGCCGACTTCGGTCTGAAATTTGATGTTGTTTTGTGCTTGTAATAGCTGTAAGATAAGGAGTTGATATTTCGGAATCCTAATTTGATGTCACCTGACAACGGAAAATGTCATAGAACATTGCTTCCTCAAAACAATTTTAACCGTGAAATGGTGAAGTGAGTTGCGTTTATTGCGCCAACCAGAAACGTGTCCTTTAAAGTTGGCATTAAACTCAAGACCAAAAGCCCTGCTGTTTCAACTTGGTAAGGCATAAGGGACATACATGCAATGTCATGCCTATTAGCACATACACACACATGCACACGCACACACATGTATTTAGAATTGCACGCCACTTGTTCGTTGTCCATTTGATTCATTTTATGACGAGGAAAATAACTTGCCTGGATTTCTGGAGTTGACTGATATGTTTCACTGAAAGTCTTTCCCTGGAGACGGTTGAAGAGACAAGTTTTGCCCACGTTGTTGTCGCCTTTTATCACAATTTTCACTGTTGATTGAAGCATAATGTCAGACAAAACTTCATGACAGCCAAACCCTAGCATATGGCAGCTACATGAGGAAATACCAAAAAGCTACAAGTATTCCCAACTGAGAATTACGAAAAAAATGTGACAAGGTAGCAACATCACAGATAAAATAATTGTTTTGATAGTCATCCTTATCTGGTATGTTACTATGTATACAACATTTCAGTTTTTTTTTGAAAGGTTGTGTACATAGCAACACATCAGGTGAGAATGATAGTCCGAACAATTATTACATTTGTGTTCCCAGTTCATCTATCCAAACCCCTTCCTGTTCAACAATCCTGGTCTTTGGAAATTAAATACATCTGATATATTTTATAACTACATTACATCCACGAACCTCCCCATGGCTACATGCTAACAGGAAATGGCTGGCACACCTGCCCAGAGGTCGCAAGTCTCCCAGCAGCATGCCAATCTTTTAGACCCAGCAACAGCCCCAGAGCAGCTTTGCTGTGGCCTGAGTGCACCTCGTCTGTACAAGTCAAAAGGTCAGGTCGCTGGAGACCATCATACCACGCCACTCGCCATGGACAGGGGTGTGAGCTGAGCATGCTGCTGAAGTCACTGTGGTGACATGCAAACACAACAGCAAGAATACTCACTGTTATATTGAATGCCCTTGGCAAATTTCCTCTGCAGCTGTGAGGACATGGCTTGCACATTGCTCGACACAGGTGCTGGAGTTGGCTCATTTTTGCTGGCAAACTTTCTCAAGGCAGAAAACATGATGAAGGTTTAAGGCCCCAACCTGAAACAAATATGATGGTGTTCCTTGCTTGAAGAGACAGTGGGCAGCACTGGTCAGCACACAATGTTACTAATTTCATTTCACAAATCAGGAGCTCAAAGCTGGTTAGCACTGCCAGCTTTTAGCATATGTTGGTAATGGGTCACTTGTATGCTGGTAGTGGAATTGCTCAGCTGATAGTAGACATCATCATTCATCAGGACTGCTCCGCTGGAAACTGCAAGCTTACCAGGCAGTGACGCTGAGCTGAATTGTGTGCTGTTTGCCTCCAAGAGTCTTGGCTGCTGAATTGATTGCTGAGCCAGTCAGCAAAAAATAAGGCTCAGCTGGAGGCCTGCATGTCTGCCAGTCAACATTGCTTGGCTGGAGACTGCCAACACTACCATTTGCTGTGCATCATGGGGCTTGGATGCATTTACCTGGTGGCAAAGGTTGTCAACATGAGACCCCATGTCAAAAACACAAAAATGCCCCCTAGCTGCAATGACCACACCTTGGCCAAAGCCTTGATTCCACAATAATTACTGGTTTCTTTCCAGATTTGGAGTGCCTTGTTTGACCTCATCTTTCCAGAACAAAATGACAACCGGTTTACTTACACTATCTATTTCCTTTGTTTTATTTAAAATAAATTCAAAAGACACAGCAAAAGCTTTTAAAATACAGTCTGTAGAGCCATCAATGCATGATGTGTTCCAATGACTAGTTGATTTCAGAAATCATAATGGAAAAGCAATCTTGTTTTTGAAAGCATGTTCCACCATGCATAAACTTACAGAAAGATGTGTGGTGTTAAAGTTTGCCATATACCTAGACTATGATGTACAATATTTTCATATCATGCCATCAGATGCAGAGCATTATGCTTGATGGTCTCACTGATTAACCATGTGGCCCTCATGATTTTTACTCAGCTAACTTACACCCGCAAAACCTGATTACTTAAGGCCAATTTGAATCGGACCACATCAGCTTATTTCATATGGGCTTTCATTCGCCCAAAAATCCCCCATTGCCTACTCATGACAAGCCCGGACTACCGCCCACAATGCACAGTGTCACTCCGCCCACAGAAAACATGAGATGTACACAAAATAGCATACCTGTGCACCCACTGCGAACTGCAGTCCTTCTAAATGCCAATGGTAAATGCACTACGCCGCTAACTTGTCACCACACCTCCACTTCGCCGTTACACATCACCAGCATCATAAAAAATCTGCAGTTATGGAAATATCACGGAAATCAACGCAGGGCTGCGCCACAGTAGTACGCTATCCGGAATGGTCATTCAGCTGACCAATTTTGACGTCACGCCGGGCGCCTGGGCGCTGCTGGCCATGTATTCGCAAATAGCATCCAACCACAACGCTGTCGAAACGCAAACGGCGTTCTTTCCATTCTTAAGGCAGGGGTGTAATTCCATATTCAGCTGAGGGCGGCAGGGTCCATTTTATATGTGTTAAACCGGGGGGGGGGGGGGGATCCCCCCTGTTAACCGTGAACACCCAGCAAACCGTCAAGTACCCTTCCAAATGAAAACCTTGGTTTCCATTTTTCCATTTCCCGGCAGCACCCGTCCGACAAGACCTTTGAAATGGCGCAGGCAGACATGGTAGCTGTATGCATTATGTATGGGGTCAAGCATTTTATGGCGAGGCAGCTGTTCCAAACAAGGAAGAGAAAATAAAAATGGGCGACAAGTCTTTTGAGACGTCAGCCAGGTCAGACCGAAGGGATCAGACAGCCTTATTTATAACAGATATAACAGCGTTATTCCTCGGGGAAAAACCAGGACAATGGAGATGCGTTGATATTTCGGCAACATGCCTTTACCGAAATATCAGCGCATCCACATCTCCATTCTCCTGACCTCTCTCCGAGGAATAAGGCGATTGCTACCGTTTTATCTCGGTTCGCTCCATGTAACGTCAGAATGCTCACGCAAGATTTTGTGAATTTGAGGTGTAGCTGGCCACTCTTACGGCATTCACTTAACACCTGCTACTGCGGTGTTTTTGAGGCGGGGGAAGGCGAGGCGGGGAAGACAATGGTGGTAGCTTCACATGCGTCCGGCTCCTTCGCTTTTGCTGCCCGTGCTTACTCCCTTTGGCTGTCGTGTGATGCGCTGGCGAACCATCCGTTTTAGAGCGCAGCGTATCGTGGTCTAAAGACTATGGGACTGAAGACGTGCCTCTTCCGCCACTGCATAAACAAACGCGCGGACTGAGCGCTCGCGGCGTGCGCGTGCTGAGTGGCCACCGAACATCTTTGGAGCAATTTCAGACCATGCCACGCGGACTGGTAATATTGGAATGGACGGTTAACTGGCCTCCTAATAACACAGCTCTGCACAAGCCCAACCTTTCTTATATGGTATGGAGATGAGCCTGTGCAATATTCAAACGACCATCCCTGCCCGGCTTTCGGGCAGTTATCACCGCGCCCCTCTTTTGGAAGCAGAAAATACAGGCAAATCATGTCGTGTCTACCACCGTCGTTGAGTTTCCTACCTCATCACTGCCGTAATGTTCTGATTTCGCCTAGCTTCAGTCTGATCGGAAATTCACACTGTCGAATGCTCACGGCTACATCTCCACCTAGCGTCAAGCATCGGTGAACAAGTTGCCTGCACAACTTATCTCCACGATCGTTCTCGTTCTGCGGTCCTTCATCTTGTGCACTTGCTCTACTTAAATAAATCGTCGTCCTCCTACAAAGTGGGATCCCACGTTCGTCATTACTCATGCGGCAAAAAGAAGGAATATCTTTTCGACGGCTTGCCTACCTTTCAAGCTATTTCACCACGCATACGTGCGGCTAATCGTAGGCCTATAGCACAAGAACGGACCTTACCATCAGCGCAATACGCTCATAATTTATGATGCATGATGCTGACGCTGACTGAGTAGGACCGGGTTGCCAGCACGCATGTGCACTCCTTGCTCTCGCACATGCGCGATGTGAAATCCGGTTTTTGCTGCCTTCTATTTAACCTGTACGCAGGTCATCAAGCAAACGACGACATGCAGACATGCATGCCGTCTTTAGACATACAGACAAGCGCACATTTTCGGAGATAGTAAATTGTATGACAGCCTCGTTAGGACACGATTCTAGTGCAGGAACTTTACGCACCTTTATATTATAGCGGATCTCACTCCGTAGCCAGAAATTTCTAACGGCGATCACTTGTTCCCAACTGAACGTATACAACTTGAAAATTGAAAACTGTGGGCGACTGACGGCACGACAAGAATATCAACGAAATTCGCAGAATTTGCTTTTATTCTGTTCCGAATTTAGCAGGCCCACATCCTCGGTGACTCTCATTTAAAAGAGGCCCCGGGGGCGAGCCCGACCTTTTATAATGCAGCGTGCAAATGAACTTGTGTAAAGTTTAAGCAACTGCCTGTATTCAGCTCGTGGTTGTTACCAGGGGCACTATTTTGTACTCCGTAAATTCCAAGACAGCGATGCTGCCTCTACCTTTGTCATTGGACTTCTGACTGCTACCACCGCCGCAGTACTCTGATGCCGCACAGTTCCAGTTGGCTACCAGTTTGTTGAATACCCAGGGCTGCATCTTCGACAGCGTAAAGAATCTCTGAATACGTGACCTACACATCTAATCCCGATAATCGTCCTGGCTCTCCAGCCCTACACTTCGTGCACTGGCGCTATTCAAGAAGGCCTCCTGCAAATAGGGGCGTTAAGATGCATTGAAGCTCGCGCAACAAAGTGAATATCTTTTCCATGGCTTTACTATCGCTCAAATTGCTTCACCACGTGTACGTTTCATGGTCACCATATGCGCCTAAAAACGGACCTTTCGACCCGTGAAAGGTACTGATCAATACCCGTGCTGGTCGTCACCACGCATGTGCTTTCACACCCTCGTACATGTGTGCTGTGAAAATCGCAAGCTCTTACTGAACTGTGTTTGACCTCCACACAGATCAACAAGTGAAAGACAACAAATAGACATACAGCTATACAGACAGGCACACATTTTCGTGGATGCTATATCATTTGACAGTACAGAAATGTTGTGCTCTACATATTGGAGCCGACATCATGTTGTAGTCTAGGATCTTGATTTAATTCCAACAAAGATCACACGGCTCTAATAGTAAAAAACAGACATGGAACCCGTGTGTTACTACTGGCATGACAGCATTGTCGGCGAAATATGCAGATGCAGCTTAATGTAACAAGGAACTCACCTGACCAAAATTCCGCACTCAAAATTTTTTTCTTAAGATGGGCCCCGTGACCCTGCCCCTCCCCATCCCCCCGCCCTAGGGACAAAGTAATTGTCCTCAGGTTCTTTGACTGTTGGGGAGTTTGGTTTCGGGAGGGCGGGGAAACGTCTGGGGAAACGGGGTCCAGTGCGACTAACTATGTGGTCGGAGTCTGTCCAAACATTCTATTGGTGTCAATGCCACATTAGCAGCTAAGTTGGAACCCCTGGCTGACGCGAGATGCTCGTGCCGTGTTCAGTCCTGTACGTACGCCTGTAATCGCTGCATATGTGTCACTGTTCACCAGCATAAATGGACGCACTTCCATGGCGGCTACAAACCTGCGTGTTCTTCGGTTATTCGTGTCATGGTGGTCGCCAAAAGCGAGAGCATCATCTTGTGTTGAGCGGCGTGAGGGACAGCAGCATGTGAGCAATACACTGCTGAGCGCAGATCGCCACGCCCAAGCCAAAGCAACCGGCACGGGCATTGCACTAGTGCCACTGGCTTGCGAAATGCGAACTTAGGGACAGCTGGAGTTCACACCGACACGCACGCCCCCGTATGATCACGTGCGGTGACGGCAGATGCCGCCATGATACGCGGCACGCCCACCAGCCAGAGCAGGCCCAGCTGCTTGCCAGCATCTGAATTATACACAACGCCTGCCTTGTTGATGCAAATCAACAACTGGAATTGGGGTATGATATACAATACTAGACGCCAAATACTCGGACGAATTAATCTATGAGAATACCAAAGCCAGGACGCCCATAAATCTGGACAACGCCGGCCGTCCGTCTCATCCAAGTCTGCCTGCCACAATGTGGCGTTCACAAATGATGCCTGAATCAAGCTCATACGGAAGCGTTGCGACGAGCATGGAGCGAGCTCAGACAGCCGGTCAGCAGCCGGCGCCGCACGTCCGATCGCGGCGATGACCAATCAGCGGTCGGCGATCAGTAGCGCAGCGCAGCGAACACTCCCGGATGAAATGAAGACCGGGCTGGTGAAAACACCCGCGCATGCCGCAACCAACACCATCGGAGCAGAATGATGAGGTGACAAGAACGGGGGAAGCTCAAAATAAATCACCGAATTCCAAAGACTTCACTGGAGATGACTACACCATATCAAACCCCTCGCCGACAAGCAGGGCGGGAGAGACTTAGCATGTGCCTCTTCCAACGCTTTAACTAAGACAGATAGAGCATAACCAACGTAACCAACGTAAAAGCCAACGTATTGCGCATTGCATAAGCCATCTGATGTATCCGGGACTAGTGTTTCCATGTTATAAGGTAGTGTTCCAAGTCACGATAATGACCTCAAACGGGCCATGCCGGGAATGTGACGAAATGTTTTCGCAAGTATAATCTCCATACATCAAAATAAATTGCAGCTCTGGTAGTGTGCTTTTTCTGCCTCAGATTTGAAGCTCGGTGTTTGGGTCTGGGCCAACTATATCACATGTCATGTCACAGAACGTAAGTACAGCTCACGTGGCCATTGGAATACATCACAGATAGTTCCACTTCCGGCAGCTATCGCACTGGGAGGGCGGGATACAGGGCTAACGACTAATACAATGATTATCGTCCTGCGATAATTAAACTGTACGTGTTTTATTTCTGGGACGAGGCTTCTGAAATCAACTTAGGGCGTCAATCTCACCCATCTTTTGTTCTGTTATGTAACGAGCTATCTGTGCTACAATCGCTGAATAAACGTAAGCTGAATTCTCTGACAACTGTTTTCAATTATGAATGACTTGGATTGCATGCATTTTACCCTTGTCGGGTCAAAGCAAAGGCTGCTTGTAACACTAAAAAGCTAATCTATCTGCGATATGATAATCATCCATGTTACAACGAGACAGACGGCACCCGGCGGCAAAATGGCGAAATTTTCTCAGATGACATGCATTTGAAACTGTGGAGAAGTCCTGATCCAGGTCAAATGAGGTCACAGAGCCTTACAACGAG